AAATTGAACCTCGAAGGCCGTGAAATTCTGAATTTTGGCAAAGAGTTTTACGAATTAAACTTTGTGCACGCCAATACTTGGCCTATGGGAGTGCAGCTGACACTGTAAACACAAGCCAACGATGGAAGATGTTGTGCTCCGCCTCTTGGTGGTGGTCTCCCGTATAGTCTGAGTAGCCTGGGCACCTACTCCACTTAGGAAGGAGACGCCTATCCCATATTTTGCGCGGAGAAACGTTGATAGATGATGGAGGCATGTCTGGATAACCCAGGGTTTTTGGGATGTTCCCCTGAATGGGTATTCACGGATGAGGGTTGACTTGGGGTGAAGAAAAAGCCACCATAACTTCGCAGTGGTACTTGCAAATGAAATCCGAGGCATGAGTGCTCTTCTTATAAATTGAGTCGTCTATTATACACTTCTCTGATATTGTGTCATAGCTAGATGGCTGCATACGCAATTAAAATCTGATGCAGAAAAAAGAAGATTCTTCTAAAGGGTGAAGTTAAACTCAGGTCAAAGCTAAAAAGCGTGAATCATTATTGGCTCTGCAGACTTTTAGTGTCAGTTGGGGATTCGTAGGGGGGAGGTATAACTGATGAACTGTCCATTTTTTACTCATTTAATAACAAAAATTGGATTTTTTAAATTTATATTTGTTTTCATTTAACCAGATCAGGCACCCTATGAGTCCATGCGGGTGAATATCTTCATTATTTACAAGAGAGGAAATACATTTGGTGAAAACTCCTAATCCTGTCTGTTTATATTACTCTCAATTTGTTTAAATTATCTTCAGAAAGTGCAGTGTACACTGTTTAGCCATTGTGGATTCCGTCCTCTCCCCTAACAGATCGATTAATGATATCTGAAATTGCTACCCCGACTTTTCCAGCAAGTCGAAACTGTTTTATCCACCCTCTACCTAGTATTCGCTGTGTGATTCTAGCCACATCTTATGGGCTGTTCATCAATGCTTCACATGACCTGTCTTAAGCTTGTCGGAGAAAGTCGCCTCTTCCATTTGCTCACTACGGACACGCCAATATCATGTGTTTGACATTTTGTGACGGATATCTTCATTGACAACTTGGCTTTTCTACCCCGGGTACTTTCCTTTTGCACAGTTAAGAATTGAGCCCGATATGCTCGCTTCTTAGCTGAATGGCGACACTGCTTTGGACCCTGGTTAGGTTCCGGTGGATTTTTAAGGGTGTATCTTTGAAATTCATTTTGGTGCTGCCCGTTTGTTCATCAGCAAATATATTTGCGGCTCTCCAGTGTTCTGGATCGGCTGATGCTGGTCGGCCAGGGCAGTGTTTCCTGGTCTGGCTTGTCCATGAATCCTTCCACTTCTGAAAGGCCACTGTCTTTCCAGCTTCTTTCTGCCTCTCACAAAAATTGGATTAATAACAGTATATTTAGTTATTATTAATTCATTTTATTGTTCTATCTAAGTCTATGACTATGTAGGACATGCAGATCGTCTCTGCCTATAGGCCAAGGATAGTTATACCAGTAGAATATCCCCTCCTGTCCCTCCTATACAGCTCACCTCAAACAGTACCACCCCTCACAAGTCCTCATTCGATCATACACTTAGAGGAACCCTTTTCCCTTCATTATCTCCCCTCTCCAGCCAACGAAACGATGGCCATTTGCGGATGTATGGCAGCTGGGAAAAATCGCAAAAGCCGCTGGGTGCGGAGCTCTTCTAATACCGACATTAGGACTAAATCTGAAGACATAGTGACCCTTCCGAAGCGTTCGAAGAGGCCGGCCAGCTGAGCGCTGCAGACTTGTGGGTACCTCGGAGAATTCACACTCTGCCTTTCTAGCCTCCTTCCAACTCCTTCCCGAAGGTCGTGCTGAAACATCAGAAAAGTATTGACAGAGAGTGATTGCTGTATGGTAGCTTAGCCCAACTCCTTTTGTGCCGTCCAGGGCGCTGGGGAGTGCCGTTGACTCATCGACAAAAGAAGCCCTCCTGGCTAATTAGTCGAAATCTCGGTCTTGGCGCCCACAAAAATTCCAGAGTTGAAAACTCCTCAAAATACATTCTCAGCATGATCTTCAGAGATCTATTCCCCCATCCCGCTCCACGTCTCAGCCGCCTTTCCTTCCTCAAGTTGTTTGTCCCATTAGAGGAACAGTCCCCCATAAACCATGACCCGAGCTTTGAATAATATGACTTAATTTCCTCCTTGCGGGTATAAATAGGGTCGTAAATTTGTAGTGAGTGATGGCCGGTAATAATTGAGGCAAGCTCCTGTTTGTAATTGGAGCAACTTCTTTATTGGTCGTTGAGGCGAGATGATATTTGATTTGAGAGAGATTGAGGACTCAGAAGATAATGGTGAGTGCTGCATGATTGAGAAGTCGTCAAATGGAGATATGCATGTGTTTGCTTTCGACCTCTATTCTTCTTGGCTATCCCAGATATGCAGAGCATACTGAGCAATTACACCGGCACTACTGGAAGGTGAAGAATTCGTCTTTGCCTGAAATATTAGAATAATTCCATAGCTAGACAATTACTTCACAATTTTGAGGCTGACGGGCTGCTTTCGTAGCTTTAAAGACGCTCAAGTTACCAAGAGGAATTGACTTCAAGCAAGCTAGGTTATTTTTTGGCCTTAGGCTACAAAGGCACTCATTTCAAGAACAGGGGAAGTGAGGCCGTGGTGAGCCCCTCAAATTAATTCGGCGCTTCTTCTAACATCTTGGCTGGACCTCCAATTATTACAAGATATTCTATTTTGTGTCTATCCCCAAGACCTCCGATTCAGTACAGATTTATCTGTAAATGACACTCTACAGGTCAACCATTAAGATATCAGTCAGACCTTAACGATATTTTTAATCCGTTAGGGGTTTGGAGGGCAGGTGAGTACTATACATCCTCTGACACTCATCCCAGTAGCCCATATTGCCAGTAAGGATTGACAGGTCTGTGTTTGACATGGAATCTTTACCAGTAGGATGAATAAAATAAACTAATATTGTCACGTGTTTAAGGATTAGTGCATCTTTCAAAACGACAAATCCTAGCAGGTAGTTGCATTTGAGACATAAATGCACAAAACAGTATGGTATGAAGCCTAGTTCTCGGCCGTTTTCACGTATCTGGATAGGCTAAAGATGCGCTTGTAGCACGACTTGACCTCAGTATTAATTCGAATGTAGCCTTAATTGAATGAGACGATGAATTCATTTGTCATATCAACGAACTAGAAATAATATTGGTTTTATCGACTGGGAAGATGCATGTGGTATTTCACTGCCAGCCTGTAAATACAAAGGACCCAGAGTCCTAAAATATTATTAGGCTCTACAGGACAATAAATTACAGAAACATGCAGGTCAAAATCCATCGAAAGATCTGATCCCTCACAGGAGTTTTATATTATTCCCTTTTGAGGGAATTAAAAAGGTAGATACCCATAGTGAGGCAAGTTGTGTGCCATAGTTTAGAGTAAATTAGTCTGACTCGGATTCCCGCTAAAGTTTTTGCAACCTGTTGACCTGAAGATATTGGATGTAGCACCACCGGCACGGTGGATAATTTGGAACGGCTAACTGTATGAAACCGAGATCACGTCTCTCTTCGAATCAGCTGTTTCGAGTCGAAGTCAGACGTGGTATTGGGCTTACGACATTTAACCCAGTTGGATGTCACTGCCTCAGACTTCGTAAGTAGGAGGTTTGCCGACCGAATGTTAGTTCAATCTTGATTAGGATTGTTGTAATGGCTCAGGTAATAAAGTCAACTTGTAGTTGGCAAATGTGGTCGATAGAGGCTATCCTCTCGAAAGATTAGAGCAATAATGTAAAGGAGATTTTCCAAACTTTCGTCACAATTGCTAGCTTGAGCGCTTGTTGACCAGTGACTCTGATATGTACAATTGCTCGGGATCTCTCTGGTGCGAGGGCGAAGACATCATGAAGGGATGCACAGCTGAGATTCGGGGCCGAACGCCTGCCGTAGAAATTAATTGCAGTTTTTGCTCACGCATGTTGAGTTATTTGCAACAGCACCTAATTATCTTTAACGAATCCTTCATAGGATCTAAAATTGCCAGCAGGATAATTTAATATTGATGCTCTTTTCCTCTGTCACTAGCTCGTTCTCCACTTTACAGCGGAGCAGTAATACTGATTCACTGATAGAGATTAGGGGAATGGACGCTTGGTAGGTTGGCCAGAAACCAACAAACCTTAACTTTGCTGAGCCATCTAGATCAGTAACTAGACCCTAACTGTCAAACTGATTCAAGGGTATGCCAAATTAATTCGAAAAGACTCCTAAGAACTGAATATAGTTTTTCTATCTCATATCCTGTAGTCAGGTAGAATCCGCGCGCTTGAGGAGGGCTGTAGCTGCTATGCTTTCTTCCTCAACTTTGGGGCTAACTTACGTGAAACCATAAGCATTAACCGTAGATGAAAGTGTTCATTATTCCCAGCATATCCCTTCTCTTCCCCCGAACGCCATCACTACCGGGAGTTACAGCCCACATCTTGCTGACAATTGTTAATTCTGGCTGGTCCAGCAATCTTATTGATATCTAGTCAAGAAAATAATCGGATACATCAATCCAGTAAGTTTTCCGGCATATTTGACGAGTCAATAGTTGCTCCCTTCAGACAACATTTCAAATCAAATAACTACATTGCTAACTTTCCCTTGCTTACAATTCAAGCCCCGAACCTCGCTATTAAGTGACGTATTCTCCAACGAATATCTTTTAGATCTCCAAGAGCCCCAAACCTTTCTACTGCCGCCCATCCGAACCTTCGAAAGTATCCCGATCATTATTTCGTTCAACATATGCGCCAAACAGTTTTTCAGACTTAGCCAGCGACCTGGGTCTTCTTCACACAAACAATTGCCTCCTAAATCGGGCTAGAAAATTCCGCGTTCCTTTCATAAATTTATCAATTAAACTTGTTCTGCTGTTTACACACTGAGAAAGACGACGTAAATTTATCTTATCTCAATGTCTGGGCCTTCAGTCTCAGCTATTCCGAAGACTATCCTGAATCCGCAAGAATCGGCAAGTAGTACTTATTCATCCAGTGCATGTATTGTCGAGGAATTCGAAAAGGAAACTAGCTCATTCCAAAAACGGCTTCAAAGTATACCGAATGGCGGGGTAGTAGAGGGTGAGAATGGAAACGAACGTCTCCCCACGACTTCAGCACACAAACTAGACGACACTCGCCCAAAATTCAATGAGCCTTCCGGTTCAACCACTCAAATTTTACCGCTCCGACTATATGGTACAAATGAAAGGCCTGAAAAAGCGCATCTATCGCAACCAACCATCATATCATCTGATGTTAGCTCGGTATCTCAATTATCAGTGAAAACTTCTTTTCCTCTAGATATACCGAATCCAAAACAAATCCATACAGTTTCAATTGAAGAATATGTAGAAAATGATGATGTACCAGCGGTAGTCCCATTGCATTACTATCACCAAACTCAATTATCCGAAAACTCAGGACCCCCTCCGACACGATCCGAAGAAAATAATGAGGAGGGCAAAACTATTAATCGACATCTTTCTCCAACTTCCCAGTTGAGAGCACGGATTTTCAGTCAAAGACCAGCGTCTGCTTCCGCAAACACTGAGTTGAGACCAAAAAGTCGTCCTGGTGCCCGTCACTCTTCCGGCTCGCCACACCTAGGGCACCGAGCACAATCTGCTCAATCAGGCCGCTCAATAGATGGAAGACCAATTTCTTATGTTGATTTAGCTAACACATCATATCCTCAAGGCTCACCGGCAACTGTTTCCCTCGACAATTCCCAACTTCGGTCAGTCATTGGATCCAATGCATCTCTCCTCAGTACTGCAAAAACTATTGAGATGTATCGTCAAAATGTAAAAAAACTCAACGACGCTGAGACACAATATGCTTTTGCATTATTTTTAACAAAAGCTGCTCAGGAAGCCGGCCTGAACCAAGAATCGAATACTATCGCAAGGAAATCTCACCCTAGACAGGGTAGCCGCGACCTCGACAATCAAGACAATGAGCAACCTTCTAGCTCGCCCCAGGAACTTCTTCAAGAGGCAAAAAACATACTGCAAAAGCTAGCTAATCAGAGCTATCCATTTGCGCAATACTATCTAGCTGATGGATATGCTTCTGGACTTTTTAATAAAGGCAAGGGCGATTACTCAACTGCCTTTCCTCTTTTCATTGCTGCAAGCAAACATGGTCACGCCGAATCTGGTTATAGAGCTGCACTTTGTTATGAATTTGGATGGGGATGTAGAAAAGACTTTGCAAAGGCGGTACAGTTCTATCGGCAATCCGCCTCAAAAAATCATCCCGGCTCAATGACTCGCCTTGGCAGAGCATGTCTCTCTGGAGATCTTGGTATGAGTGGTATGAACAAACATCGAGAAGGCTTAAAGTGGCTTAAGAGGGCCACGGAGTCTGCAGATCAACAGTACAATGCGGCACCATATCACCTTGGGATCCTTTATGAGAATGGCTATGGAGACGACGTATTTAAGGACGAAGTATACGCTGCTCAGCTTCTCACCAAAGCTGCTGATCTAGGACACTCCGAAGCATGCTTCCGTCTTGGAGATGCCTACGAGCACGGAAGGCTATCCTGTCCTCGAGACCCAGCACTTAGTGTTCATTTCTATACTAATGCAGCACAAGCGGGACATTCGGGCGCCATGATGGCATTATGTGCCTGGTATATTGTTGGTGCAGAAGCTGTCCTTGAGAAAGATGAAAACGAGGCCTATGAGTGGGCGCGGCAAGCTGCTGCTTGTGGTCAGTTAATTAATTTTCTCATTCAAAATCTCTCACTAAACCTTTGCAGGTTTAGCCAAAGCAGAATATGCTATAGGATATTTTACAGAAATGGGCATTGGAACTCGCAGAGATCCTCTCGAAGCCAATGTATGGTACGTTAAAGCGGCTGAATCAGGCGACGAGCGTGCTAGTCTTCGGCTGGCTGCTATCCGAGCTGCTGCCAGCGGAGGAACACCAATGGAAGTTGCCCCTCCACGCAATGGTGCTAAAATTAAAAAGGCCAGCATTAGTAATGTCAAGGCGGATCATAATGAAAAAGATTGTGTGGTAATGTAATGTCAACATTTAAATCTTGGATACTAAACTGAAAGACTCAATGAATAATGACGGAAAATTTTTGAGATTTAAATATTTTTAACACTACAAAATTAAGAATTAATATTGGTATTCTTGTAACTTTATTTCAGCTGCTTATTTTAACAGTCACATTTCGCTCAAGAATTGCATGAATGCCTAACAGGAACAATTAGATTTCCATTTATAAAACATGAGACACGTCTGCTCTTCAAAACTGGTTAATAGTCGGAGATTTTAGGCGAATACATGCATAAATGATTCTTGGATATCATTGGGATCATATGGGATGAAGTTCACAGTCTGTTAGCTCGATTGGAGCTTAATCATACTTGCCTAGCCAAAACGGCTATTAGAAACTTGTTCATTACTGAACACTTCCCCATGTGGTCAGGTCCAGACTGAGGTCGTTTCATGCAGACAAGATTTTTGCCAAGACCTCGTTCGCAATGCGGCACAAATCATCCAAGTAAATACAGTCTTTGATTCACACATCTATTTGTTGAGTTTGATTAACTTTTTCCGAAACATAGCATCATGGCCAGCTCCTAGGAAAGCTTGTTCACACGGCTCATGCAACAACTGAATAAGCAGGGCCATGCCTAATTTTGCCCATTACATAGGATTGGTTAATACTGAATTCTAGTTTTCCTCAACCTGCCACTCTCTCGTCTAGATTAGATGTTTCAATAATTAATCATCCCATCTAGTCTTCCATGTGAAATCATGACGTTTTAGACATATACTCATTTAAGCCAATTGACCATTGATTCGTTTTCACTTCGATGCCATCACATCTCGCGCCTTAGGATGTCGGGGATGGCAAAGGCTTATGGGTTTAATGATACCACCAAAACTTTGCCTTGGATGATTCCTATGGACGAGAGTTAGCAGCATCTTCTAGGTAGACATGTTGCGTAGCGGATTCTAAAGACAAAATCGCAAGTCACGGTTCTGCCTGTTATAGGGTTAATTTTTGAGGTACGCGAGACTATGGAAGTGGGTCGGTGCTTAGTGGCCCGACACAGTAGGAAACAGTCCAACCTGACTACTTGGCTCCAACTACTTGGCATTTAGAGGGTCCCTGGGGCCTCTCAAGTGAGATCGAGAGACGGCTTCGACTAAAGCTATGACAGGTAGCTATCCCAAACAGAAGCGAGGTGTGGGTACCTACCATCCCGTCCATAAGCAGTCTGAACTTTTTATCACTTCGATGAATTAAACTACGGGTCTCGATGGGTCATTTTGATTTCTTTCCAGATTTATATTATTATATAGAAAGAATCGGGACAAATAGAGCTCTACCTCGCCCGGCACATTAAGTCGTTATATAGACTGAGCCGAGTGACACGCATGTTTGGGATTGATGTGTAACGTAGGTAAGAAGTCATTGTAGAGACTGTTACAGGTTCCTTTCATTGTCGCTCAATGTGGATAGATTAGGTGAATATATTCCCGAAAACCTCAATCATTCTTGCCACACCCGAGATCTACAAGCAGCGGGTAATGTATGTGTGGGGTAGTGCCCTCCTATTTCTGCGGGCAACAGTATTGACACAGTTATGATAGGGTGAAGTAGTAAGCCTAGATAGATGAATGTGAAGAGACACGACCCATTTCCATTCGAGGGGAGCCGGTGGGCAAGGAATGAATCCAAAAATGTGGTGATTCCATTAGTATGGGGAATTCGAGGACTTCACTGAGATACAAGAGGCCGGGCTGAAGCGTCTGAATCATTGCGCGGCCGTAACATCATTTACCCAGATGTAGCGTCAGGCACAAAAGGGCAACGTAAGTTGCAAGACTAATGGCTGTTAGGACCATAATGAAGTTTCCACTCGTGCGAAACATCCGATGCGAATCTGACCCTTGGCCACGCGGGTCTTTGAAGAACTGGCGTTGGGCCTGATGGCGTCGGTAGATGCTGAGGGTGAAGATACCGAAGCCGTGGAGAGCAAAGAGAGCGCCAATGCTGTAGAATTCACGCGTGAACATCTTTAGGATAACGAGGGCAAACGAGAATTGGCCGAGAGCCGTGCGCACGTAGGCGCCCTCAAAAGTACGCTGTACCGCGCGGATCTCGACAAGCCTACAGCAGTTAGTTAGTGCGAGGAGATGATAATGTCGCGAGTTAGACTATAGGCCATCTCCCTACCGTCGCCTAATGTACCAAAGGATATGGGCTTACCCACTCTTCAGGACTAGTGGCTACTTTCGAGGGACTGCTTGTTGGTCGGCGCGCTCGACATGACTGTGCAATCTTTTCATTAGCCTCAGTATCGCAGTTGAAGCGCGTGTTGAGCGGAAACTGATGTAGTAGGTAGGACAGTCAACTAGATGTGCTTGAAGGTGCAGGGAGTCGCACGTCAATCACCTGCACGACCAACGTAGCGGTCAGAATTTTTCTCTGTCAGAATGCAAAAGAGGTGCCAGGAGTTCGTTACCTTAGATGTGTCGGTAGGAAATACGGATGACATGGTGGTGCAGCAATGCCTGCGCTGAGGTTCAGCGATGCCATGCACTCGGCGTATCAAAAGTTTTCTGGGCCCATATTTAGATCACGTGGCATATCCTCGTCTCTTTGAGCCTCTAGTATGGAATAGGACCGATTCCAAGTGTCTTTGCATCTGAGCTGTGGCAGATTATGCTCCACATGTCAAGTGGTACGAGGCGGGATTCGTGAGCTGCAGTGGTGAGATGGCAGACCCGATCAACTGGAACGGAAAGGACGGCTGTCACATCACGCGTGGGAGAAACCTGAAAGTGGGTCAGGATATGCAGTCATACTTGCATGAACAACGACAAAACACAGAGCATTCAAATTTCTGTCACGATAGATAAACAATACATCGTTAGTTTTGAAGTTGTGCTGGTTTTCTGAGGTTTCCAAGGCCCGTAAAATCAGAACTAAAAACCGAACATTGCGACTGAGCTTTAAACCACGAATAACTATTGGAAAGAGACCGGTCTTCAAATACGACAGAAAGGCCCTGTGCGATTTTGTAGAGAAAAAATATGAAAAAATCCCTAAAATGCAGTAGCTGTATTTTGGTAGGTTCTTATCTATTGCTTAACCATTAAGGAACTTTCATACGTGACAAAAGAAATTTCCAAGAAAACTCATGATATCCGAATGAAGGGTTTGTTGTAAGCTCTAAATCCCTGGTCTTATTCCAAGGTTGCAATCTATTATCTTGGAGCTCCTAATCAATAACATATTATATTTGGAACACTTTTCATGCCTCTATAGTTTGCTAGTTTCTTTTGATTAGACTCGTGTTGATTACTGGCTTGGTTTAGTTTTGATTAATTTTTTTACTAATGTGCTAGGTAAAATGACACCCATCGCACTTCTACTGGAGCTTAAGTACGAGTTGGACCGGGCTAGATCAGGTTAACTACCGTAAAGTACAAATATGCCTCGTCCCACCTAATTGACCGGAATCATGCTAGAGCGCATCTATGTGTTAAATCATGACGAGTTCAGTAGCCCAGAATGAAAACAAAAGAAACCTTCCTCGCGAAATCCCGCATTATAAGGGGAAAGAGTAAAACATATCCCTTCCAACCTTCTACCTCAGTCACCACACGCCTGATCCTCATCTCAAGCAAATTTCATTTTTATTGCCATAACAAATAGCTTCAGTCTTACAAAATGCCAGGCATCGTTACCACTAAGTTGTCTTGGCTTTTTACTGCATACGTTCCACTGCCCTAGACGTAATCTTTGAACAGCTCCCATCTACTTGATCCGAACATAGTTTTCGAAGCCAGAGCCCTACGCCCTCCGATTTTCAGCCGCCATTCCGCCAATGCTTTTCTAAGCTAGATAGGGTGACCGATTAAATTTTCTCTATCGTACTTATAGCGAAGTGCGACTGAGGTATGGTTGACGCGGCGATGGTATGCCGCGAGATCCGCATGTCCAATTTATGCGGCGATCAGGGGGGCGTAGATCGTTCTCGGGAGCACTAGTTCTGGCGGTTTCTTGCGCCGTGTTAATTTCTGGTATCTAGCCGAGTGTAAATTAACCACTTATTATCGTCTATTTATCTTTAAGCTGGAGTCCGCGTCGCATTAAGTTCATATGTATTCTTCGTCATTTGATGTTCTCAGTTCGTCTCAATAAAGCTGTTTTTCGATTTCATGATTTTCGAGCTTAAGCTAGCTCCTAAGCTGCCCCGTACCCCTGAGCATTACCTGCAATCTTATCTCTCTTTACTAGTAGGGTAGAATAAGTCACTTCTAGATTTATTCTGCACAAAGGCTGTAAAATCCTGACGACTAGATTCCTCCTCTAATGGTATCCTCCCATTTTGTTCCCCGTTCCATCCCTCAAACAGCCCCGTAGATGGTGCTGACGGCTGCTGGAAAGCATAGGGTTGTTCCCAAGTAGAGATAGGGGCAGGAGGAAGAATATTGGACACTTGAGGAAGTTGCCTGTCGGTAAATGAAGCCAATGTCGATTCTGATGCAGCGATCGGGATCGAAACTGTAGGGGTTAGCGCTGAATAAAAGTCTGTGGAGTGCGCCGCCTGGTTTGTGCATATATTTTGGGTATAATCTGGGTTGTAAAAGCCATATGAATTGTTATCATACGGATAGTGAATGGCTCCTTGCAGGCTGCTAAAGGGTGTTAATTTTGTGGGGACTGACCATGTCGGATTTTCTCTTGAATACACCTCGGAGTGTGCTGGCGGCCAGTCAGTAAGCAGATTGGACTGCAGGCCGGACGTAAACTGTGGGTAGCTGGGTACCAATGAGTTCGCGAGCAAGTAAGGATCTACTTCTTCGGTATGCTCGGGAACTCCCGTTGGTAGCCAATAATTGTTACCTATCCCAGTATTGTTGGTATCTGTATTATAACCAAGTTCAAGCGTAGAATTCACAACTATATTTATTTAGCTAAATGGGAGTACGGTTAAAACCAGCGATTAGTACCTTCATTTACCCTTGAAGTATAGTTCTCTCCTGTTCTTCGACGCTTCTTCTGAGGACTAGTTGCAGTGGCAACTGGAACTATACCCAAGTGAGCGGGATAAGTCAGTGTTGCTGACATATCGATCACCTGACCAGGAATTGTGGTGGGCAAGGATACCCTGCTGGTGGCTCTTTCAGTTGCTTCTAATACCTTTGCACCACGTCGACCTAGAACTTTAGGAGATTGCTGGTCAACTGGATAAAAATTGCATTCTTTCTTTAACCTTATACAATTTGAGCATCTTTTATCAGATGCAGATGGAATACATCTAATTTTTCTCCTTCGGCAGTGACCTACAACTTAAATTAGTTTCACTATTTAGTCTATGCTTCAGTTAACAACTCACCACATGCCACGGAGGTTCGATGGTAGCCAAGCTTATTTCGTTTCTTTTCGATCGGTGCAGCTTGGCCTGCAGTGTTATGGCGGGGATTCGAAGTTTGAATCGATCTCCCTACTTTTGTCGGTTTAGGTTTGAGAATTAGACTTTTCTGGACAGTCTCAGAAGCCTCACCGGTCTGAGCCGACAAAGATGATTGTGCCAAGTCGGAAGGTTGGTGGAAGCAAGAGAACAGATTATTTGATTCAATCTCCGGGGCCGACAACGGATGCCGTGACATATTGCTGGCTTTATTGAGAATTGAATCGCGATGAATCTAACGCTAAGTGCCACGTTCCTGACTTTGAACAGACCTTATTGTACGAGTGTACAACGAGAATTCTCACAATTCTTTCTAATGATTTAGGCTGATGTTTCTGAAGATATTGTAGATATATTTTCTTACCGTGGGTCTCTCCACTAGAATATTTTGCTGGATTATTATCCAGCAAGCCTGTTGTTACCTTATTAGTATTTTAGATTTGAGGTAACACCAAGATCGATTAAAAGTCTCAATTTATTCTGGTGTTACTCGTATATATAGAATTCAGTTAGGCGGTTTCGTTTACAAATAGAAGAGAGACAAGCTCTAATTATGAAGGTGGAAGTATTAATTTCGAGTTATGGATTGTGAAATACCAAATATATAGAAAAAAATCGAGGCTTCGATACTTCCTCGGCTGGGTTTTTTTGAGCTGTTTATGATAGCACAAATTCCCAGTAGGCAATATATTCAGAGGGGTCCCGCTTGTATCTCAGTCTCACCAGGATTCCCACCCTCCCCTGATTTCCAGGATGAAAGAATTGCTTAAGACAGTTGGATGCTGGGATTTCGGATAGCAGGTTGTCAGAAGCACCCTGTCGCGTGATCTTTGTGGAAATGAAATATGAGCCACGATGGGGGCTGATGTCACTACGCTCTATGGCGCAGAATACTGACAGCCCATTAACTAAAGAGAACAAGATTGACCTGAAGTCCTTACGATTCTAGGCAGAGTTCGCGATTTCCTTTGTTAATACTTGAAATTGATAGAGGTCAAAAGCTTTCAAGAGTAGGCTCAGAATTCACGATCGATCTAGAAGCATCAACTCCCTTTATTTTTTCGTCAGACCGATTCCCTCTGAAACTTCTTCAGCTTCACTACAACATTCCCATAATTGTTGGGCTCCATGGCGGAGCCGACGAAAGTGAATGTAAGAGAGAGGTTGTACTCGGTCTCCGATTATTGATAATTCCCACCGAGCCAAGTCGCTAGGCGAGGAGCGACGAGAAGGAAACTCTATAGGTCGGGCTTCAGGAAAGTTGTGACCTTGTCTGCTTGCTGCGATAACAGCGGGTACCAATGGCCAACCGAAACCAATCAAATCTCTCATCAGTGCCCCTTCTTGTATTTCAGCTGAGGCTTGAGCTATAAATTGTGGCAGGCATTATAGGTTTAATGCAGCCTCAGCTTCACACTCGGACGTGTTCTCCTAGAGTGATAGTGATAGCGCGCGCGCGCAACCACGCGCCCATGGCAACGTCAAGGAGGGGCTAGGGATAGTAATTAACGGCGATGCCCACTTTTTTGGCAATTAGTAGTGGTAGCGATCATCCTGCGCCCATTTTGAATCTACAGTATCGTTATCTCAGGGAAACATGTAGTGCTACCTCGAGTTTCCTATTATAGAATCCTGGTAATAGCCTTTCACAGTCTTTATGACCAGATGACCGACATATTTCTTAGCAGCTCATTCAAGATCGACATGCTGACTTTGAAGTTAGGAAAATATATCAGCTTGAAGTTAGATCTGGCTACTCAGAAGTAAATGAGAGTTGTAAACGGAATTTTTTATCCTTCGTTAGACCTTCCGAAGCTCTTGTAGTGGTGAACTCAAACGCGTACTTCGACTATAGCATGAGTAGAGCAATCTAGTCGCTACTGGGCCTCGTCAGGAATGACCTGAAGTGTTCTATGCCCTAGCAGGAATAAATCCTGCTTTTTGGTGACAGCGGCATAGATGTTGCATCAATATCTTGACAGGTACACTCAAATCAAGGGGATTATTGAGTGACATGTATGGAAGTTCGGGCTGCAGACGTTTCAGACTAGGAGTAGTACGTTGTGAATCAGCCGCTCGGAAAGAGTAGAGTTATCGTACTCAAGAGGAGTCCTGGTCCTTGAGGAAGACTTGTCCACAGCAAGGAACTCGGGATTATATAATTAGCTCTCAACAACCCTTTTGGACCGTTGACGTCAGCTTCCAAGCTAGAAAGAACATCATCGTTTCCTGAGAATGGAACCTGAGAGTTGCTATTGCATATGCTGTAGCCGCAGGTGACAGTTGAAATTTAAGCCTTTGACTTATCCTAGCTTTATCATAGCTGCGACAATCTCCAACATATAACCATCCTGATCAACATTTTAATGAGAATGGAATTTCATGATACTCGCAAGGACGTTGTTACAATAACCCTTTTCGATTCTATTGAGAGTATCTTCTTCAGCCTTTGATATAGTGAGTCACTTGATTCAGATTTCCAAGATACAATTTGCATCCAAGTTAGGCAAGCATCGGATGGAGTGCCGAACTTTGGCCATTGGAAAAAGATGGAAAAATAGCTTTTAAGGCTCTCACCATGTGGAAGCCAGAGTCGGATTGATAAGTCTCTGTGAGACAATGAAATGAGCTGTTCAGTGTGACTTCAATCAACCCACGAAAGAGTGATCTTTTTTATTAGCTCAGAGCCTCCTTAATTCCCTAGCCGTAAGTATTTTTGGTTAGTTTTTCAATCGAACTCATATAATTTAAACGAAATACAATGACGCCGAAAAGTAACCACTGATCACATACCTAAGTTCGATAGGAAGTTGTAGGGACTCGGGTTGGAGACCAACTTGGACTGCCGCCTTGACAACCGGTCGGGTTATTCTTCCACCCGCCTCAATCCTGCGGAATTTGAACTTTTTGACTCAGACCCTGATCAACCGCGAGAACGTCGTTCCGATCACTAGCTCACCCTAGCGCTAGTAGGGATAGATGTAGTCATGGGCTGAGCACTGAGCTAAACTTCTTCCCCCCGCCATATCGAACCAGATCGTCAACCCCTGATAGTTTCTCTATCAATCCTGGTCGGCCGGCGATAACTCGCCATCAGGCTGGCATCAAGATGCCCTGTCGAAGTTGAGTGTCCAGTGATAGTTCTTGTAACGCTCTTTACCCAGAATCCCCCTTTCGCTAAGAACTTGTGTTTCGGGTCACTTGACCAAATTCACCTTGTCCTTGTCAAGGCTGGCTCCATATGAAAATATTTTTGTCAATCTGTGCACGGGTAAAAGTAAGCTTCCAAGGCGTCGGAGGAGAGGAAGAAATACGATTAGATCAAGATAGCATCTTGGAGCCTAATGGAAGCTGCACACGTGGTCATAATCCCTGCTGCATAAAGCTGAGACATATAACAGCAATAATTTGTAGATTGATTAGTGCATACGCAAGCTTAGAGTTATCAACAGCGGCTGAAAAGGATTTGAGGCTGAAAATCATTTGTCCATCTACGAGAGAAATCGCGGGAAAGAGGGGTTGGCATCGGCTGTTTTAGTTCAGCTCATGCCAGGGCAATGCAGCGGTGGAGGCCAAAATTCGCTAAAATACACAGGCAAGCGATTCTGTAAATTGTCTTTATGTCGATCTCGGAATCACGTTTTTGGATGGGGCTCGGCGAGAATGCGCTTTACCCGCTCAGTGGTTCGATCGACTATGGGGATCCCAACAGGACGGCATTGAGTTCCAAACAGAGAACGTTTGTTACATAGTGGTAAAATAGCTCCCATATTTAGCTTTGAAATCAATAACTCTTGCCACAAATTAACAATGAGAGATGGCGAAAAATAAAATATTTACCTGGAATATGTTAATCAAACCGACTTGCAATAAGATTGCTCATGGAGAGGGTAGTTCAATTAGATTAATTAGTTGGTGATGTATGTCCTAGATTTGTCGTCGAATTAATATCCGTAGACTGCTAGTGGTCTTCCGATGTCTCACAAACTTAGAACATATGCCTGCGGTGCAACAATCTCATTCATCTAGCCGAGATCATTGCTCGGTACTGTTGGACCTATTGACTTCTATACGTCTAGAGGGACCAATTTGTTGACTTTGATGCTCATCACCCTGCTGTGCTTCTTAATTCAATCCAAATATTAGGGGAACTAATAAGAATCAATATCTTATTTCAGAGAAACTTGGGTTTACGAATTGAAAAGTTCAATATTTCGACAATTAGACGTCGCCATATCTTCAGTCTCGGTTTTATTTCCCACATCGTAACAAAAATTTGAATTTGAATTGATACCGTTACTGAAATATCACATTCCTTTAGACCTAAATAAAATACTTGTAGCAAGACATGAGAATCTAACCTAGGCGTCAAATAACAGGGTAGTGGCTAATTTCAGAATAGAAGTCATCTTAATCGTAACAGCCCCCCACGATATAGGCGGCGTTTCACAAGACAAGGAATCTCAGCTGCATAAAGTTAAGGAATTAATCTTTTGTTGCCATTGATTCGATAGGCCAGATGGCGTTGCGGTATGACTTGTCGGAGGGCGCTGTGAGGATAGACGTCCGGCCTGACATCATGAACTTGATTGCAGGAAGAGCTTACGAAGTAGACTTTCGCTCTACGATGCACGCTGCTGAATCTAAGATGTTTATGTAGGCCAGGGCGGTGAAGGGGATTCAAAACATCATATTGAGAAGCAAGCATTGATGGCTTGAAAGAGGCTATATTCCTGCGGGAAGCCTAGGATAAAGTCCCGGTATATATTTAGTCCATGATTTGATATTTTCTGTTAAATCAGACAGCTGTTGAGAGAGAGCTCTCACTCATGCTGCATCTAGATCTATGCACGCAGCGAAGACACTTACAATTTAAACGAATGTATTTATCAAATAATTTCAAAAAATATATTCACAAAAGTATGCCATAGCTTCCATCCTGTAGGCCCTGTAGCATGCAGATAAAGTATCTGGCCTCCCTATCTTACCATAAATTTAAACCTAATTAATTTCAGGTGGTAAAATACCTGAAAGGATAGCGAAACCCCTTCGAAGCATCCAAAGAGACTGCTTAAAACTGGTCACGGGAGCGTATAAGTCGACTAGCACGAGAGTGCTCGAACACGAAACTGCCACCCTACCCATAGAAATCTACCTGAAGCAGCAAAGACTCCAATGCGTTGGCCACTCGAAAAAACTACCAGTTCAGAAGCTCATACAATCTGCCTGTAGTAATGTCAAGCTGCCCAAAAGAGTGAGAGAAGACTTTCGAGCCAATAACAGGAGATTGGATCTGGCAAACTGGGTGGAAATTTTTGGGGAAGACCATTCACAAAAACGGCAGAAAGAGGCAGAGAAAGTCGCAGCACACCAAGAATGGGCCAAATCCTGGCCAACTCAGAGACAGATTCAACAGCCTGGATAGCTAGCCATCGCCTACCCCGAATCCTGGAGAGTAGCTAAGTTCAATCAGAGCCGAAAGTCGGAATGATGGAAAATAAGTCTCCAGGAATCACCATTTTTTCTCCACCGAAACCTGAAAAGGGCCCAAAGTAGTCTAGCGATGCAAATAAGAAGTGAGCACATGGGGCTTTACTCGTATTTATATAGAAGAAAAGTACCCGGAGTCTACAGTCTAAGCCGTCCATGTGTCTACCAATCGCAGAACCCCAAGCACATGATTATGTCTTCCCCTCGATGGTCACATGGACGAGGAGAGATATGGAGAAAAGCCAAAAATCGGTCCTATGTAGCTATGATAAATAATCCTGGCGATATCAAAAGAATTATATAATGGATCCTAAGTCATAGTTGGATAGAACAATTCCAGATGACAAATGTGGTCAAAATGCTGCTGAGGGATAGGAACAGGACAAATAATGCTTGGGGCGGATAGAGATGATCTGGTTGGTTTACATGGATGGCACTATAGTGTAACTACGCTTCCTGAAAGATACATCAGAAAATCTAAGAAAATAAACAGGAAGCTTTGAAGGGTTTTTACCAGAAGATTTCCTCCCAAGTAAATATTACAGTTCATAGACACCTACATGAGTCCGTTGGGCGCCAAATCAGGATAATGAATACAAATCAAATACATAATTAATTATTGTCTGTTATACATGAAGCTATCATATGATGGATAGCAAACCCCCCTAAAACTGTTTGTTTGTGTTTATTTTCCTACAAATTCTATGACTATGAATGGACTTGTAGGTCCTTTTTGCCTACAGATCAGAAGTATCTATACTTCGGGTAGTATAGTCCCTCCTACGCCTCCTTCACGACTTCTCTCCAGCAGTAATACTCCCACAGGTCTTCATTCGAGTACATACTTAGAGGAGCCCTTTGCCCTTCATTATCTCCCCTCTCCTGCCAACGAAACGATGGCCATTTGCGGGTGTATGGCAGCCGGGAAAAATTGCAAAAACCACTGGGTGCGGGGCTCTTCTAATACCGACATTAGGACCTAATCCGAAGATGTTGTGCGTCTATGTCTTACAATAGACTAGGGACTCAAAGCACGCCTGTAATTAGTATCACAGAATGCCTGGTAAGTCGTTAAGTCAGATGTAAGTTGATTGTCCCCTGTTCCAACCGAAAACTCCTGATGATGCTAATTCTAGTTAATATTATATAATAGCACATGACCAGGACACACAACGTAGCGACCCTTCCGAAGCGTTCGAAGAGGCCGGCCAGCTGAGCGCTGCAGACTTGTGGGTACCTCGGAGAATTCACACTCTGCCTTTCTAGCCTCCTTCCAACTCCTTCCCAAAGGTCGTGCTGAAACATCAGAAAAGTATTGACAGAAAGTGATTGCTGTATGGTAGCTTAGCCCAACTCCTTTTGTGCCGTCCAGGGCGCTGGGGAGTGCCGTTGACTCATCGACAAAAGAAGCCCTCCTGGCTAATTAGTCGAAATCTCGGTCTTGGCGCCCACCAAAAATCCAGAGTTGAAAACTCCTCAAAATACATTCTCAGCATGATCTTCAGAGATCTATTCCCCCATCCCGCTCCACATCTCAGCCGCCTTTCCTTCCTCAAGTTGTTTGTCCCATCAGAGGAACAGTCCCCCATAAACCATGACCCGAGCTTTGAATAATATGACTTAATTTCCTCCTTGCGGGTATACGTAGCGTCGTAAATTTGTAGTGAGTGATGGCCGGTAATAATTGAGGCAAGCTCCTGTTTGCAATTGGAGCAACTTCTTTATTGGTCGTCGAGGCGAGATGATGCGTAGTTAGAGGTTGAGGTCCCAGATGAGTATAGTAAGAGAGGCATTGTCGAGAAGTCGTCAAATGGAGATGTGCTTGAGGTTGCTTTCGACTCTGATTCGGATGCGATTCTTCTTGGCTATCCCACATATGCAGAGCATACTGAGCGATTACACCGGCACCACTGGAAGGTGAAGGATTTGAAAGGAGGCTAGAAAGGCAGAGTGTGAATTTCCCGAGGTACCCACAAGTCTGCAGTGCTCAGCTGGCCGGCCTCTTCGAACGCTTCGGAAGGGTCGCTACGTTGTGTGTCCTGGTCATGTGCTATTATATAATATTAACTAGAATTAGCATCATCAGGAGTTTTCGGTTGGAACAGGGGACAATCAACTTACATCTGACTTAACGACTTACCAGGCATTCTGTGATACTAATTACAGGCGTGCTTTGAGTCCCTAGTCTATTGTAAGACATAGACGCACAACATCTTCGGATTAGGTCCTAATGTCGGTATTAGAAGAGCCCCGCACCCAGTGGTTTTTGCAATTTTTCCCGGCTGCCATACACCCGCAAATGGCCATCGTTTCGTTGGCAGGAGAGGGGAGATAATGAAGGGCAAAGGGCTCCTCTAAGTATGTACTCGAATGAAGACCTGTGGGAGTATTACTGCTGGAGAGAAGTCGTGAAGGAGGCGTAGGAGGGACTATACTACCCGAAGTATAGATACTTCTGATCTGTAGGCAAAAAGGACCTACAAGTCCATTCATAGTCATAGAATTTGTAGGAAAATAAACACAAACAAACAGTTTTAGGGGGGTTTGCTATCCATCATATGATAGCTTCATGTATAACAGACAATAATTAATTATGTATTTGATTTGTATTCATTATCCTGATTTGGCGCCCAACGGACTCATGTAGGTGTCTATGAACTGTAATATTTACTTGGGAGGAAATCTTCTGGTAAAAACCCTTCAAAGCTTCCTGTTTATTTTCTTAGATTTTCTGATGTATCTTTCAGGAAGCGTAGTTACACTATAGTGCCATCCATGTAAACCAACCAGATCATCTCTATCCGCCCCAAGCATTATTTGTCCTGTTCCTATCCCTCAGCAGCATTTTGACCACATTTGTCATCTGGAATTGTTCTATCCAACTATGACTTAGGATCCATTATATAATTCTTTTGATATCGCCAGGATTATTTATCATAGCTACATAGGACCGATTTTTGGCTTTTCTCCATATCTCTCCTCGTCCATGTGACCATCGAGGGGAAGACATAATCATGTGCTTGGGGTTCTGCGATTGGTAGACACATGGACGGCTTAGACTGTAGACTCCGGGTACTTTTCTTCTATATAAATACGAGTAAAGCCCCATGTGCTCACTTCTTATTTGCATCGCTAGACTACTTTGGGCCCTTTTCAGGTTTCGGTGGAGAAAAAATGGTGATTCCTGGAGACTTATTTTCCATCATTCCGACTTTCGGCTCTGATTGAACTTAGCTACTCTCCAGGATTCGGGGTAGGCGATGGCTAGCTATCCAGGCTG